ATTTATTTGTTTTTAACCAACCAGGTATAAATTATGGTATAAAAAAATTTAAATCGACAACGAGGAAATCGTACAAAACGTTCGCTTACCTTTTGGCCGGCGATTTATCCAATATATTATAGTATTGCGTCGGTATTATTATTTTTTTTTCCTTTGACTTTAATATTTTCGAATGGCGCGTACGGTTTTTCACTGGCACTAACGCGGTCTAGCAGTTTAATGTATTGTTATAGGAAAATAGTCGATTGTCGTCGTACGCACTCCGGATAGTACTGGCGAGTCTGGCGTGTGCGGGTCAATCGACAGAGTGTGTCCCAAAGAAAATTTAATGAGAAATAATGGGGAAAAAAAAAGAAAAAAAACCTATAGTCTATCTCGGTATTATTGTTGAGTCGTTCACCTTGATTGTTGATCAAACCAGGAAATTGTCGCGCAAGCGGATTGGAACAAGACGGTTTTCGTTCGTATACAATATACTATATACCTACAGTAAAAATGTTAATAATAATATAATATAATACATAATAATGCACACCGACGCTGTGTGCATTGCACACATACACACACACACTCACGATAATAAAATCATAAAACGAACCATTAAATCACGATTATATACGGACATAATAATAATAATATCTACGCCTACGTGTATAATGTATAACGCGCGATCTGTGCCTGCGGGTTTTAACACTGCCTATACAATAATTGGGCTACTATACTTTCGTCAGTTGTACTTGCACACACACATATCTATATACACTTACATGAATATATATTGTATACTTAGGTATAGTAGGCATATTAGTTGGTATTGTAATGATGTTGTGTATAACATCATCACAATGACCCACTGACGCCGCGTAATGTAATAGCAATATCATCGTCGTGTGATTATTATGCAAACCGCCCGCGTTTAAGCGATTCCGTTTAACCTTCGCGTCACGTGTATTCTAGCGTATCATTTCCGATTTACACACACACACATACACACACACTGGCGCGGGTTCGGCAATTTACACGCGTATTGTTGGAATGCTTGTTACTTAGGTACTGCTGCGGTATAGTTGTGTGAGAAAATAATCGCTTACCGTTCGCAGTCACGGATTTTGCACACGTTTTATTATTAAACAGTCGTTAGTTATATTATCATTGTTATTACATTAATATTATTATTATTATTATTATTATTATTATTATTATTATACCGCGATCGAGACGCTACGAAACGATGTAGCGAAAATCACATCGCGTAAACTGCTGACAATAATTAATGATATTGAATTGTCTATACTTGTTAGTTGTTGGTCCGATTATCTATAGTGTATGATGTACGACTTATATACTGCCCGTAGGCATCGGGTCGTCGGATAGAAGAGTATCGCATCTCGTTACGCGTATATCATTGCAGCATATTATTGTACACAATTATACAGCACTATAATAATAAAATATAGTATAATATCACGATTCGGCGGTAAAGTGGCGCCGAACTAATTTTTTATTTTTTTTTCTGGTGTGGCAATGAACGTTAATTTATACCCATTTACCTCTGCCGGTATCAAGCCTAAGTCACGAGGGAGCAAAGCCCCTTCCCACCACTCGCCTAAAACTACGGAATATTATTTTCGCAAATGATATTATTTAATGAATAGCATTTATATTTTTACTAACATCATTATACCTGCACGTGTATTAATTAAAACTATTAAAAATTGCTTAATATTCTAATAAATATTTTTTAATATAAATATAGATTGTTTGTTGTTTGATTAACATAATTTTTTTCTTAGTACTATACCATATTATGTTATAATATTAATAACTGAGTCAGAGTTAAATGATTTTTACTTGATATTAATATGAGTCCAATCATTCTTCTGCTACTTTTCTTCTTAATTTACTTTTAATAAATTTTAATGTTGAAAAGGTTCGTTCTAGTGATGAACTTGATACAGGTAAAGTTAAACCAATACTTAATGTCGTATAAAAACAAAAATGGTAATTTTAAGTATTTTTTTTTGGTATTTTAATAAGAACTATACTATTGTGTGTATGTTTTCACTCCGTGTCTCTGTGTAGTTTATGTACAACACCGTAAATTAGCTGTAGTCGCTGCTGTAGATTTAGAAATTTATTATCTACTATTGATTATGATTATAAAATTAGGTATTGCTTAATTTAATAGTTATTTGCGTTTTCTAATGCGATCATACAATGCACACTACGACGCTCTAAGAAAAGATCAGTATATAAAAATAATCAATGCTAGGAGTTATACCTACTTCTTAAATTTGCCTAATACATAGATATAGGTTCGTCATCACTGCAGCAGGGTTGGAAATTAACTGAAATACGACATGTAATTGAGATAATACGAGTGTCTCTAACTGAGTAACATCAATTGTAACTTGTACCTATCTCATATTTAATTAAATTTTTCAATTAGTAAAGTATTATCTTGTATTTTAGTTAGTTTTTTGTGGAATAATTTTTAATTAATATTATATATATTTTTTATGTTAACTTAAAGAGTTTTATTCGCATTATATATTCCGCACACAATCGTTATAATACTAATTTGATGGTCATTTTGAAAAACTTGTATTTTTAAAAAGCAATTTAGTTCAATAAATATGATATTAAATATAAAATATAAAAATTGGTCACTATGTATAATATGTATATTATATTATCTATAATTAAATTACATCATTTTTGTAAATTACCAATCAAATTTTATATGTAACATTGTTATATAAAAATTATTTTAAAAAAATCACTTTTTTTTATAATTTGTTTTTAAAAAATTTTGATTTAAATAAAAAAATAAGATTTTACTAAGAATTTTTTATTATATAACTTATAAGTTATATTTTATATTAGGGTACAACTTTTTTAAATAACTTGTATATTGTATTTAGACATTATTTTAGAAGAACTTGTAACTTATATCTGATTAAAATTTATTGAACAACTTGCTCAGCTCTATTTATTGATATGATACTACTTCGACTAAGTCGATTAAATTCTGTAGGTATAATATATGCATATAATTATAGTACACATATTGTAAACAGTAAACACTATACTGTACTTACTGTTAACGTCTGTTAAAACAAGGACTTTCATATAAGTTTTCTCAGTAGGGCCGAGTATTCATATGTATATGAAATAAAATAAAATAAATTATTATTATTGTTTTTGTTTTTATTAGTAGGCAATGTGTCCTTATCTGATAAACAAAATTATACATGGTATATGCGTAGATGTGTTTTTCTATATTATGTTCACGCTTCTGATTATTGATTACCGGCTACAGCTATAGTTGTTTTTATTGTCGTGAATTTCCTAGATTTTATTAATTCAGTGGCAGACCGCAGTGTGGTTCTTCACTCCGGAAATCAAGTGAATAATACTTATCGCAGTTAGCGTTTATACGGAGTGATTCATGACATCGAAGTAAGATTCTCAATATTTCAGAAAATGATTCACAAATGTTTGCGATTTTAATACATTTCGTCAAAATTACAATTGTAAACGATTATAAAAAAACATTGTGTGGCTACATATTTTTCAATTGACAATAACAAACTTTTGAAAAATTTTGAATTAAATTTCTCTAGTTTTTTGACTCGGTGGAATTTTTTAAAGACAATAAAAAATAAAAAAAAAATGTCTAATAATAGCTCAAAAAAGTAAAATTATCTAGAAAATTATATCATGTGTACAATGATAATAATTTTAATATTTAATGAAAATGTCAAGTATTAATATAGTTATCTGTTTCTAGTAACAAATTAGATATAGTTGGTAGTTTTAGGAGGTCAAATTTATATTCATAGTTCTATTTACAATTATCAGAAGAAACAAATAAAGTGAGCAAGTAGATAACTATTTTATTGTATGAACCGATTGTACTTTTTCATCAAGAAATAAGTTTTTGTAATGGATGTGTTAAATTTTAATTCAATAGTAAATCGATTACATACGAAATTCCTCGTGATGAATTAATTTTTAAACGAAACATTGTATTGTCAATTATAATAGTATTTATTTATGTCATATATAAATGGTGTAAATGGTGAATATCTATGATAGCTTAGGTTTGTGGTTTAAACATGCAATATTTTAAAATAAATCTAATACATTGAAAATGTAATTGTGTATTGGAGAATATAATGTGTAAAAGTTTATATACCTATGAATAATATTATTAAATTATCACTAAATAACTATAAAATCATTATTTTTCCTTTAAATATATAATTCATAAAAATTCGAACTTCTAATGCTCTTAAATAAATTGTGATTATGAATATTTGATATTTTTATATTAGTAAGTATAACTTACGGAGAATGTCAGATTTGATTTTTTGATTGTACCTAAAAATAATTATTTTAATAAACTTATCACAAAAATAAAAAGTAAAAATTTCAAATATTTATAAATTAGCACAAAAAAGTTAGAATATTTTAAAAATCATGTCATATGTATTAAATGCTTTTATGAGTATTTAAAAAAATTACCAATAGTATCTACAATAATTTATTTTTGATTTTAAAAAATAAGTTGATTTTGTCAAAAACTAGTTCTTTTTTATAAATATACCTATTTTTTTCCCAAAAGAGGTTTTAAATCATAATTAATATGAATTATAGGTGTAGTCGTGTAGGCAGTTTAATTAAAAACTATTTTCATATAATATTTCATAAAGGTTGATGGTGAGGGTTGAACCATACTTGCCTGATAATTATTAACTAGTTATTAATTACTATTAAATATATTAGATATAAAATAAATTACATGCAAATGAGCTATGGAAAATATATATTATACTAGGCAAAAGGCAGAGCTTATAGATACATTTAATCTTAACTGGTTTATTGTATGAATCATTGGAGTCTTCCAAGGTTCGATCATTTTAGTACTAAATCCAGTTTAACATGTTTAAAGTAGAAATAAAATGTTTAATTGGTTCAAACTTCCTGTGTCTTACCTCATTTATTACTTGTGTCTTCGGTATTTTTATTTCAGAGTACAACCTCCTGTCTAAAGAAATAGATGTGGATACCATCTTCAATAGTTTAGTGTCACGTGTGCTGTTGAGGATTTTTTTGACTGGCATCATCAACCAGTAGCGCATCAATTTACTGACATACAGTTATCTAAATTTAAAAAATACAAGCATTAAGCGAGAAGTTATAAGCTATTTATTTACACTTAGGTACCATAAAAAAATATAGTGTATTGTCTGTATCATATTAATCATCAATAAAAAAATTCGATATTTAGTATATAATTAATTGTTATGAATTAACAAGCAACGAAGGTCGCTAAAATGAATTATTTTTTACGATTTTGAATTGAGCGATTAACACATTGGTTTATTAACAATGATGTGGGTTTTTTTCTTACTCTGTCGGTAAATTGGATGTAATCAAAATTTTTTAGAGATCAAAAAAAAAAATTTCTTGATACATTTAAAAATAATTTTATGAAGAGGGAGCAGGTAACCGCTCTGTTGTATAGTTATAGCTGTTATAGGTGTCGATGATAGTATACCTCTTTATTAATACTTAAGTCATTGTAATGTATATGTATTAGATTTGAATTAAATAATGAATAATTACACATGAAAAACAATTTTGAGTACAAATTTAGTTTATATTACCAAGTATTTTTTATGATTTATTTATATTGTATTCGAATAATATTTTTAATTATTAGTAATACAGTAGGTTAAATCAATTAATTGTTAAAATATATTGCATTTAAAAATATCATTGTGTGTATAAATTATAAATAAATAAGTTAAAAGTTTCAAGAGTACTTGTGAAAATTATTTTTAAATTACAAAAAAATAACTAAAATTGTTATTTGTGGTTTAATTATTTAATTTCAATCAAATTTTTAATTTAAAATGTCTATAGATAAAAATTATGCTTTTATATTTTTTAGTTTTTTCTGATTTCAGTATAAACCACTAATGAAAAATCTTGTATTAAATTTTTAATCTCAAGTTATAATTAAACATTTTATACATTTTGAATAACAAAATGAATTGGAAATTTTTGCGATATTGATGAGTTTATAGTCTTAATTTGAATTTCAAAAATGTATAAGAAAAATCATAAATATTTATTTATATTTAATATTTTTAAGAAGCTATAATAATCGCTTTAGAAGTACTTTCTGTTAAATTTTCAAACTTTTAGACCTAGTAAAAATTTTTTGTATCAACATTTATAAAAATATCTATAAAAATAAATTGAAAATTATAATTGTCTATAAATAAGTGAATAGAGTTATAATACTTAGAAAATTATACCATGTATTAGATTATATAATATAAATAATTTTAAAATTTTCAATAGGTATCTACAGTTATTTGCTTATGAATTAAAATAAAAACAAAACTAATTTTGTTATAACTTTTTTTTTTTTTTAATTTCTCGGTTATTTTGAAAAGAACTAAAATTTTTTTTTTATTAGAAATCATTCCTTAATTTAAAAATTGAAGCATTTTTACTGTCCAAAAAGTAAATGTTAAATAGAAAAAACACACATTATGGTAAAACCAATATATTTATCATTCCGCTCAGAATATAAAATGACACGATTAAGCCATAAAAAATATACGAGATGTAACATTTTTAATTTTTAATGTAAATTGATGAAAAGTTCAAGTGTCTACGGTTGTTTGTTTTTGTATTACGCAAAAACTACAAAAAACTGGTTTTAGAATTTATTATATTTTATTCATTACAATTTTCAAAATATTGAGTTATAATTTTTAAGCAATTGACTATAATTTTTACTAGAAACTAATGTATGGTATAATTGAGGTGTTAGAAGTATCATTTTCAACACTAAAACATTTTTAGTATCTATTTCCAATATTTTTCAAGTTTACTTTATCATTATATTTTGTTTTGAAGAGTTTTTAAAAATTGTAGTACCAACTTACTATAATATATGTTTATGTGATTAGTGGCTGTATACAATTTTTTTTACATTTTAAACCATTTATATTTTATAAGCTAACTGCTTGTGGTTATTATTAGTAATAATAATTAACTAATTAAACATATACTATAATGATATTTTGGAAAAAGTTGTACTAAAAATTAATTGAGAAATGTGTTGGTGACTGTCATATTAATTAAATATGCAATATTGCGGTATAAAAATTCCGGAAATATGAAAATGCAATATACTTAGAGTTGTATTCAAGGTCTGAGTTGATATGTTTTAAATTTTTAAAGTTTATAAAGTTATCGAAACCTGTAAAATCATGGTCAATGTTAGTAAGTAAACAAGTGTGAGTAGTATATACATATAGGTACAAAAAATTTAGAATTATTTGATATCGCTCTAATCGTTATTTATTGTATTTCATGCAGTGAATGTATGTTGTCTGCTGTTTTTACCGGAAGTATAATATTGTCCGGAAGTAATTTTAATAATTTTAAATCTGCTTAATTTTTATGACCGATTTATGCATGTCAATACATTATATAGTAATAATTATTTATTTTTTCTTTTAAACTTAAAATATTTAGGTTTAGTTTTTATATAAATAATAGTAAAAATCCACAAATAAATCAAAATTACTTTTATGTTTTCTGTCTTGATAAGTTTTTATTGTACATTTTAAAATGTAAGAAATTACGAATACATTTTTTTACAGATTATAAAAATAAGTGTGTTTAGAATCTTGATTATATCAAATAAATTTATTTTGTCATACTACGTTACTAAAATGAAGATTGTCATGCTATTTTTTAATTTTCATTAATCTGATGCAAATACTATTTAACTATAATTTAAATATTACCTAACTGTAATAAAAAAATATTTAAGAACATATAATTGTTATATTTATGCATATACCTATATTTTTAATATAAACAAACGTTTTGTAATACATTACAGTATTAAAATTTTATTTTATTTACGTATAGGTATTAAGTATACATTTTAATTAAAATTGTTATCTTGGATTTTCGGGATCAAATTCATTTTTCATAAAATAATCTATTTATTTATATTATTATCAAATGTAAACATGTTTATGTTTATCATTGTAATGATAAATTTCGTCGCTAAACACATTTGTTTACTTACATTATGAAGTACTCAACTAATATTTGTGAGTAATAATAAAACTATATTATTGTTGATTAAAATTATTAATGTTTAATTTATCAGTATTCAACTCATTTCAAAAGTAACTTATCTCATGGAAGTTGAAACATTTGAATTATTATTTTTTATAATGTCTTATTTAAAGTTTTGTTATAAATTAGTAAATTTTAAGTTATATGGCAATTGAATATAGTATAAAAAAGAAGTTCATAATTCAAATTATCTTACAAAACTTGTGCGCAATTTTTGTGTACTACTAAACACAGGAATAGTAATCAATTATTTTTATTCAAACGAACTATACCTAATCCAGTATAACTAGTATATGTATCATTCTTTTTTGTATGTATTTATTTTTACAACAATCACAATTAAAATTGTTATTAAACTTTAATCGTGTTAAGAATTAGAATGTATAAATTTTTTCCTGATAGGTTAGGTAATAATAATTATTACTTACTTGCTCAAAGCCACCTCAAAAATCGTACTTAAATAATTTCTACGTATATTTGAACCAAAATATTTAAAAAAATTTATTGAGAACACACAATTTTAGTCCATACGTTTTATTATTTGGCGGTTAATAAATTAATAATTTACACAACACATTATATTATATTATATATATTTAAACTCGATTTGTACTGAAATCATTGTTGTTATCAATATATAATCTGAATTAATCTGAAACTTTAAACTAATACTAAACTAAAAATGATGATTGCTACAAAACTTCATAAATTTTGAGAGAAAGATAAATTTATAAATTTTTTTTATGCACGACATTTTAGTATAATACAATATTAAGACTATGTGTTATATTATTTACGTTGCGAACGGACAATCGGAATAACAGGCAAGTAGCTCGAACGCGACTAACCTAATCGTAGTCGTCAATGTGCCAATGACCTTGGTAAGTACACGAGAATACGAGATAGGACAAGTCAGATACGAACAAAAGGAAAAGAGATAAAGTTAAAAACTGGTATTCCTTCCTGTTATTTATATTTATTTTTATTTAAATTACCATATTCAATATTACTCACATGTATAGCTGGCACGTACTGATCCATTAAAGAGCAGTATAAAATTTAATATGTAAGTAGAAGAAAGTACAAAAAAAAAAAAAACTCAAACCTAATTTATGTACTATACTTAACAAAGAAAAATGATAAGAGTTTATTCTATAAAAAATATTGATATTGGGTTCTATATAATATAAATACATGTATATGGTTTAGATATATCTATACTTATATCATTACTTATCAGTAATTATAGCATAGAAAAATAGTCTCAATTAAATTGTATCATAAAAATGTACATGAATCGTTGCAGTATAAATATCATTAACCTTAACTGCAAAGGTTGTAAGTTCAAAATGGCAAATACTATACGAGAAAAAAAAACATTTTGTTTTTTCATATTGATAAGATACAATTTATTTGATTTTTCTTAATTTAAGTAATTACGTTTTTGTCATGTTTTATAAGTTTAATTTTTTTTTTTTTTTTTTTGTTTTAAAGGACATACTAAGATTTTTTTTCTTTTTTCCTATAATTCCTAAAATATAAGGATATTAAATCCTAAAATATAGGATTTTGAAAAATACTAAATATCATAATAGTTTTCCTTATTATTAATAATAGATTTTGTGGAAATTTTTTTTATTTGAAATGATATATAGATAGAATACAACTTTTATTTTCGCAATAATTGTAATAATAAATATAAAGTAATATTAAAATAAATAACATTTACATTTTTTTGTTTAATTATTTTGATAAATAATTATTTGGATTAATGACTTTTTAAATAATACAATACTTAAACAAATTCAATTTAATAAATATAAAATAAAAGTATCATAACATTTTCAATCTCTAAAAATAATTATAATATTAAGAAATAACTTTGTTAATACCTATTTGTTTATTTTACGAGTAAATATTTAACTTTTAAGCAAATGTTTTAATTTAAAATTTATATAAGTCACAAAAAATAATTGAAATAATATTAAGTTGCATGATGATGTTGAAATAAATAGCATTGTGATCATTGTTTAAAAAAAAAATTGATAGCCTTTTTCCATGGACATTTTTAATTTCTGAAAATGTTTATACTTTTTTTTTAATTTTCTTTGGGTATAGTTTGGATAATCTTTCCAAGTTAACGTCATATTTTTTACTGTTCTTTAAAGTGCAAGTGCTTTTGCATATAAACACATAGTCTGTAGGTACATTATTTTATAACTAAATTTTCTTTCAATAATTAAATACATACTATCAACTGTTATTTGAGTGTAACTAAATAAAAGTAATTTTCATACAGTTATGATACCAGATAAAATGAATAAATTCAGCAAACCGTTTCGTTGGATTGCAATTTTGGTACGAACATTCATCTTCTTATACGTAGTATAATATCAAGTTGGTTTTTTTTTTGCTACTTCAATAACAAGTTTTGTTAAGTTATATAATTTTTACTGGCTGCTACACAGTATTTTTTTCTCGTTTAATTCTATCTCATAAAAACAATTTTATTAGAAAATATCGGCAATAATGTTAACCAATGGTTAGTACCTTCCTATTATTGTTTCAAATTAATTGTTCGAGAGATATCAAAAATAAGTATTGCAGTTTTTAAAATGAACTATAAACATGTTGCAATAATCTATGTTAAACTATGCATTTACAACTATAATGATTATATCTGTTTTTTATAACGTTGTGTTTATTTTTTGCGTTTTATGTGATTATACTTGTAGGTACCTACACATCAACACACATAATATGACGTAGGTATATAATTATAATAGCACGTACGAATTACCATAACTATTTAAATAGAACATTTTACAATACATAATTATAATTTATAATGATACTATTGTGTCATTGTAATATCAGAATATTATTGAACAATATATAATGACGTCTACACATCATAACAAAATATTGCCCATAGAAAAACAGTCGGTTAAGCTGTATTTTGTTTGCGGATCACTATTGTTATAATTTTGACAGTTTTTCTAGGACAGTTAGTTCACTTAGTTCGATTTTTGGGTTATGCGTCGTATACACATCGCCCATCATATTATTTTTTTTAATTATTGGTTATGTATTGAGCATTATAAACATAAATACACAAAATCACTAGTCATTCAGTTTCAGCTCAATATTTGACGGTCGTATTATTCAATTTTCAAATAGTCTATAGGTATATTTCTGTTTAAAACATACATACGAGTACGTATATTATGACAAGATTAAAAAACTGAAATGTATACAATGTACGATTAATTCTATGACCAACCAAATCAATATTATTCGGATTGCAGTATCTATAAGCTTTCTAATTATCACTAGACATTTTTAAAATTCGATTGATTAAGTCAGTTTATCTTTTATTTGATATACATATATCTGAATTATAACAATTATTGAATTTTAATAATAAAATACCTATAATAATGTACGAAGAAGTTAAAAATCATACTTTGTTTGAAAATTTAAATACATTATAAGCTCAGAAATACTAAATTTAATGTTATATAGAAATTCAAAGACGAAACTACCACTATAGCCTATAGGTTTCGATAAAAAGGTATGTGAAAATTTTAAAGTATATATTAATTATTATTATTTAAAATTATCTGAAATCTATATAGTAAATTTTTGCACAAAACAATGTACTTTTCCTGGAAAATTAAAGCTTGCCATTATTATACCATTGTTTCAATCAGGTAATAAAAAAAAGTGCTAAGCTTTAAACCTAATTTAATAGTCTATAATTTTTCAAAACATTTTGAAAAAAATAAAAATAGTCAAAAAACATTTTATATTTATCAATTAGCGTTGATTATAATTATCTTATCAAAATACTACTAAGTTGTCATACAGTTAATACGAGTATAATGAGTCAAATTGTAAAAAGCTGTCACTGAATAAAAGTAAAATTGTTTTTGCTGCTTTTACTATTAAAAAATATATATCCATTAAATAACCCGTCCAATGCATCTTGGTAATTGTATAAACTAAGTTATAAAGAATGAGATTATGAATTATTATGATAATTTTCAATATAATACCTTTGGATTACTTAATACGTATCTATTTTTGTAACGATTATCGATTATATCAATCAATGAAATAATAATTAATTTATGTAATGATGTTAGTTCTAATTGTTATAGTTGTCAGACAATAGTAAAAGTAAATAGAGTTAAGTACTTATGTTTAATTATAGCTTGTCATCTACGGTGTACAATGAACATATAGATAATTTAGTTGTGTTTAAGATCTTTGATTTAATATGTACAAATTAATTACAATTTCACATTATTTTAATGTGTACTAATTATCAAACGCTGTACAAAACTATTTTTAATTGTGGTTTAATAGTATTAGTGCGCGGGTGACAAGAAGTGTGCAAATAATTTATTAGAATCTCTTAGAAGTACAAGTTATAATTGAGCATATTATATGTATTAATAAAAAGAATGAACAAAGAACCACTACACAAAACTATATACAATGTAATGAAGGTGCTCTAGTCAGGTTACTGTACAAGCAATTTTTCAAATTATCTGAGTTAAAAAAAAAAAAGAATGTAAATGAGTTAACATGCACGAAATTGTATGATATTAATGCTCATTACATAAAAAAAAAAAAAAATGAACATTTTTTTGTTAAAAACATCATAGATTATTTAAGTAAACTATGTTTAATTCAATGCCATTACATCTTTAAAATAATATTTGAATAATTATAAAAAAAAAAAATCAGCTACGAGTATTTATATATATTCAAATATAATTATAATTCATTATTTGATAGAAATCTTGTAAACTATAAAGATGTATCTAGTTAAAAAAAAAATTATTTGTATTAAAATTAATTTTATTTGAATTTAATTTTTGTTTTATCTATTGTTATTCACTTATCCTGTCCAAAACAATGATTAATAGTGTGAATTTACCATTAATTGTACCTAATCTATTAAATTTTATGTAACTGATTAAAATCTAATTTTCTTGAATGATAAAATAATAATAATAATAATAATAATAAAGTAATTTAAAATAGTTTTTCTCTATTTAATTATTCGATTTCTTCAAAATTTGAATTTTGATTATCTTTACAAAAAAAAAAAAAAAAAATGTGATATTTTTAGATTTTTGGATTTCAATATGAAATATTTAAGGAATCGTGTATTAAATTTGTATAATTTTAAATTATAAATAGTTCAACTGTGGTAAAAATGTATACACACATTTAAACACAATCCATTTATGCATCCATTGTGTGTAACATAAAAATATGCAAACTCTTAATGTACATGTGACTATTATAAATGTACCCGTTATAGACCTATAGTTGTAGTTCTCATTGTTCTCAAGCCTATATAGTCACGAATATTCACAATAGTCATGAGTCATGACTCATAGAAATATTAGTGACTAATGAAATAATTACTCAATACTTATATAGTAGTTATTTTATTTGTTGTGCATTACAATATTTTGTTGGATAATTCCATACGCTGTAGAGACAAAAGGATACATTATTATAATAAATGTATAATATTATACATTTTAGCATTCAAGTCACTAAACATAGACGCAAAATGTACGGAGTTGGCGCAATATGTTGTTATTTAATACTACTGTAGCAGTGTGTGCGAGAAGAATCTCGTTACTGTCGTAGAGTTAAGAAGTAAGATAAATGTGTGTGTTTGCTATGGACCGATGGTCGAACGCGGAGGAGCAGATGGCTATCATACAGAACTCAGTGAGATATTTTAATTAAATAATATTATGTTTGTTTGAATGTGACAAAAATGTTTCCAATAACCATAAATTGTGTTAAACTTTTCTTGTAATCATTTGATGCTTGAGCTTAAGAATTAACAGCACCGGGGTATTGTTAATGCCATATGGTCAATTTTACCATATTACCATAT